TATCTATCTATCTATCTATCTATCTATCTATCTATCTATCTATCTATCTATCTATATCTTTTCAACCTATATACAATGTATTACTATTGTACCTTTCTGTATCTATTGATCCGTCCATCCATCAGTCTGTCTGTCTCTGAATATGCATAATTTTATACACTACCTTGCACACGCTAACGACAGGAGTTTGATTCCAAAGTGGGGAGAATTATTATCGAGTATCTCGGTCTTTCTGCTAGAACGCTGTATCCCTCTCAGCCCGGGTTGGCCCTGAAAAGCTGGGGCGCGGGTTGGCCCCGAAAAGCAGGGGCGAAGCCCGCCTCTTAAACAATCTAAATTAAGTCGATGAAGGAACAAAAAACCCAGCTACATAAGAAGTACTACGAAAGCTGACTTGTGGATAGTTGGAAGGCTCTCTGGTGTGGTTTACTTCTTCTTTCCTATCAAAGATCTATTTTCCTTATTTCTCCTCTTTCGTTTCTTTATATAATATTACACTCTAGTAACACCTCCCATCTTAGAAACTAATATGATGTTATCGTATTGCAAGTGCCGTAGCGAGTGGCTGGAGGGCGCTACTGGTAGGTCCTACTTTTTTACTTCCCCCTCTGTTGTTTCTGTTAGTCTGTCTTACTTTTTCCCAGCACTAAATTACCATTATTGTGTTGATGAGCTTCTATTTAGTCAAACAAACAAACAAACAAGAAAGCAAGCGAGTGCCGTAGAACTTTTACTGCTGCTAAACTAAACTGATGTTAGTGGGTGGTTGGCAGGTGCTCTGGTGTGGTTTGCTCCTTCTTTCCTATCAAACATTTATTGTCCTTATCTCCCCTCCTTCTACTTTGTGTTTGTTACTCTCTTGTAACACCTCTAATCTTCAGCACTTATATGACCTTATTGTGTTGCAAGTGCCGTAAAACACTTACTAAAACTAAACTAAAAAAACTGATGTTGACTTTTCCATGTTGTGTGTGTGTCCTCCCCAACAGGTTGTGGATGTCCAGCAACATTACGTGAAGCCCCAGCCCAATGAGCTGGCGGAGACGGTGCTCACAGACGACTGTAAGGTGGAGACCGGTCTGGACGAAGAGCTGGTCAAACAGGCCCCGCCCCTTGACCTGGTTCTTGAAGAGGTGAGTAGTCCGCTTGAGGTTTCGTTAATAATAATTTGTCTATTGTGCTAGGAATAGTGTTTGGCCGTCTGTTCTGAATACATGAAGACATGTACTATTTGTTGGTTGATTGGTTGCTTGTTTTCTTTCGGTTGTTGTTTTTATTGGGGAGTCTTTTTGTTGTTGTTGTCCTCCTTTATTGTATGGATAGGTTTTGTTGCTTTTGTTTTCTTTTGGGGGGTTGTAGTTGTTTACGAGTTTCACGCCGAAGTTGTACTGGTTAAGGTATGTATGCCAACATCGGGGCAAAATCATAGTAGGTGTGTGTGTATGTGTGTGTATGTATGTGTATGTGTGTACGTGTGTGTGTGTGTGTGTGTGTGTGTGTGTT